CTATTAAAAGTCGGAAAGTCAAATTTGTATTGAAAACAAAATTAAGCATCAATATGGGGCCTCGGATTAACCAGGAAACGATTTGCTTTCGGTACCCCCGGCGTGAATGGTAATCGTCTGTCAATTTTCCAGATTTACACGGTGTAGGCACACCGTCCATTACTTTTAGTACCCTAGAGGACTGTGCAAGCAGGCAATGGCATTTAAGCACGGACCATTGAAGAAAAAACGTATAATCCTTCTAGGCCAAACAAAAACCTGTTCGGACACCATCCAAAATACTACTATCGGCAGATACTTACAAACAATGAATTGACCCCTGAATTATGAGTGCATTACCAAACCGATAGATTCCGATACCGCGTACAAAAATAACGATCTTTTAACAATTCTTAGGATGTATACGACGTAGGTGAACAGTGGATATGCTTCAAAGGGAATGAACGTACTGTCTTTCACGATTTTAATTACGGAATCAGAAGCCCTATTAGCTGCCAGTAATTTATGGCACAGCGTTGATACGAGTTGACGAAATTCTAAACTGAATTTCGTACAGAATAACTTTTGTCAGCACAGATGAATTTCTTACCGGAAACGCCATCCCCGGTTGCCATGTAACGCGAGTAAAGCTCGGTGCGCTTTAAGAAATACTCGAATCGTTTCGCCTGATCATCTCCCACGTCGTCTGAATACATGTGATGTTGTTTCTTCGTCGGCGTTTTTGACTGTTTCGCATCCGGATCGGCATCAAGCCATTTTTCTTCTTCCTCGTCGTCGCTAGCTGCGCTGGACACAGCCTCCTGTTTTTCCTCTTCGTCAGACATCGTCACTTTGCTAAGCTAAGCTTTCAGAGGTTAAATATGACCATGCAAACAAAGGTTCACAGAGGAATTGTGCCGCACCGACGCGCCTTTAAAGTTTGAATGGCCGATCACCGCTTTCATATTGTTTATTGCAATGTTTCAATAATACCTGCAAATCACCTACCGTAGTTACAGATGAAATGCGTACGGGACAGAGAAAATAGTGGTTAAGTTGCCACTAATTACGCTGTAGATTGTTTTCATTCGCTTTGTCGTATATTTTGTTGTACACACATCTAAATTTCGTTTCGATAGTTTCTGGCGCACGCTATTTCTTCCAAATGGCTTTGCGCCGTGTTGTCGGTGTTGGCCGCATAGTTTTTAATGTAAATTGAAAAACAGTCTCTGGACCAAAAGTCATAATACGACGAAAAGTAGTCAGGCAGCGAGTTAAATCAGTCATCATTACTGTTTTGTAAACGTTTCTAAATTTTATTTCGGACGACTCATTTTTCGGGTAAAATCAGAGTTGATGTTTACGCTTGGCTGTTGTCAGTCTTCCAAGTTCAGCCTGCGGCGACAGCTGCCGCTGTTTTCACTATGCAGTGGAACCACTGATTCGTTTAAAATATCAGTATCACTGCGTAAAGGTTAGTGATTATTGAATAGTCGTCTGCATTAGTGATATGTATAGCATTAAGTTATTGTGGCTGTAGTGTTGAAGGGCAAGGCTTGAAGGCTAGTCGTCAAGGTTTTTAGACAGTGGTCAGAATTATTTCTTGATTGCAATTACGGCTGTGCGTTTTCGATTTTCGCATCTTCTAGTGCTATTGATTCTGAATATTTAGCTCCGCAAACCAGGTTACAGGTGAATCGAATTTTCAGTAGTTCTGTGCCGTCTTTTTGAGCACCTGTTTGTTTACATACAAAGCAACAACAGTTGCTTTTGCCGATCCTCGTAATAGTTTTTTTGGAAGTTATGTAGAATTCGTTACATTTGCATTGTATTCGTTATTCTTGTATATGTTAGAACAGAACTGTACAGGAGATCTTCATTGCAGTCTATGTTATGCCATTTAAGTAGATAGTTGTAAATTCAGACATAATCTGTGAAATAATCATCGATTAACGCCTGTTTGTTGGTGGGAAACTTACCAGAAATAAAAATGACTCATTACAGCTTGGGTATCCACAAGAACAAGCCCCAACAGTAATGCCAAATCATAGAAATTACGATCGATAACTGTTTCGACAACATCTTGCCATTGCATTCTCCCGATTACTACCCTTCTGATTCGTGGGTAAATAAGACATCAGCATAGTTAGGAGGACGATCTGCTACATTACAAATTTGTTTACCGCAAGGTTCAATACTATATACTGGCAACTGCTGAAGCTAAGTGGGAACTACCTGCTTACGGGGAACTACCTTGCTTACACTGGGGACATCTGTCCTCGCACCAGTGCAGAACCAGGAAGATAAAACGGTAAAGTAGTGATATCCAGGACATGTGCAGTTGGGCCAACAAAATCGAACTTAAACTGGATCCATGTAGAGTAGAGGATGTGGTATTTCG